CTGGCATACCTTTCTCGGCCTTTTGGCTAAGATCAAGTGTAGTATCTGTTCTGATCAGTTTAATATCTGATCTGTGGTCCGTCGGACCACACGATATTAAATTAATTTTTCTGGGCTTCGGAGGGGTCGTACGGGTAAGCTCGCTTGCCCGACCCTTCCAGCATTGCCTCTGTATTGCACTGCAGCAGAGTGTGGCGCAGCCCTATTCCCCTCAGGGGAAGCTTAAAAAACCAAAAAAAAAAAAAAAAAAAAAAACCCTGGCCTGGTGCCTGAGTTTTAGGGTAGGTCGATCTTGCGAGGGCCATTTTTTTCATGGCCCGTCGTTTTCAGGCTGGAGGCCGAAACGACACGGGACCCTCGTTTCAGGCTTTTAGGTTGAAACGAAACAGGCTCTACTCCTACGGACCCTTAGTCTACCAGGTCGGGCTCTGCTGGGCGCGTGTGGTATTGAGTATGCCACACTCCCTCCGTACCACACTCCCCCCTCCTTGAAAGACCGAGCTTACCTGCGAGGGCGAAGCTGTCTGGTGGAGGGAGGGACTGAAGTCCAGGTGGGAGGCTGTGCAGCTTCCGTCGCTAGCCGTTTCTTCTCATAATGAGCATAAATATCAGGAGCGGAGGCTCGCAAAGCTGCCCGGGAAATCCATCGCGTGTCATCGGGGTCGCACCACTTGAATGTGACTTTGTACTGCATAGGCTTGTTGTCGTGCTTGCGATGCGTGATGACGCGGTCGACTTCCTGATGACCATCCATGGAGGGAGGGTCCTGTGATCGTCGTCCCGGGAAGTCGTCGCTCTTGGCTGGTGTATATGTGGCCAGCTTGGAGGTGTGGGGGCGTGGAAAATAGGATGCACCGTGAGATGCGGTGGGATTTCGATCACAAATGAGGGGCCATCGGGCTCATCACCCGCGGCTGATGTGATGGGCCATGGTCCAAACCACTTTGGAAGTAGCCTGCGGGATACATCCTGCTCGAGTGCAAACTCTTCCGTGCAGACCCAAACAAGGTCGCCCGCGCGGATGGGGCATGGCACGTGACGCCTATTAGTTTGTTGTTGCATGCGGACTTGAGCCTTTTGCATGTTGGCGCGGGCTTTAGCCAGCAAGTCCCTATACTTCCGAACGGAGGCGGGTGAACAAGCGGCGTCAATGTCAGCAGTCCTTGGAAAAGGAAGATCAGCGAAGATGCGGTCTTTCCGGCCACCGTGGTATAACTCGAATGGAGTCACGCCGATCGCCGGGTGCACCGAAGTGTTGTAGGCGAATTCGATGTCGGGGAGGCGGTCCACCCAATCCTTCTGATGCATAGGGATGAGTGTGTGAAGCATTACTTGAGCGGTTTGATGTGCCCGCTCCGTCTGCCGTCCATTTGCGGATGCCGAGCCGAACTTGGTTTCATCTTGGTGCCAGACTCTTTCATGAGAGAGGTCCAAAATGCCGACATGAAACGAGTGTCGCGGTCGCTGACGATGTCTTCCGGAACGCCATGGCCGCAAATCCAGTCGGTGTGTAAGAGGCGTGCAAGTTCCGGAGTCGTGGCGTAGTACTTGCAAGGAAGAAATCGTGCGTACTTGCTCAAACGGTCAACGACCATGAGAATGTCGTCGTGCCTGAAGCGGTCCCAGGGGAACGGGCCAGTGACTTCCATGGCAAAGGAGAGGCCGGGTTCCCGTGGAATAGGCAACGGGCGTAACTCACCGTAGGGGTTGCGATTGCGGGGTTTGCTTCGTCGGCGAACTTCGCAAGAGTCGCAATACCGAGTGACGTCGGTAATGAGATCAGCCCACCGGAATCGTTGCCGAAGTCTTGCGATCGTACGGTTGACTCTGAGGTGGCCGGCGAGTCTCGAGTCGTGGTACTCGCCGAGGAGACGAGTCCGTAAGCGACAGTCATTTGGGACGCATAGTAAGTCCTTGCCTCGTGAGTGAAGCAGCAGGTAGCCATCGACGATGCGATAGTGGCTGGCCGGCGGGTGATCCGAGGATAGTTGCTCGTAGAGCGTGCCGTATTCCGGATCAGACTTGTATGCTCGCACAAAATGCTGATGAAGGGCTTCGTCAAAACTGAACTCGTGGTGAGTCACTGCGCAAAGATCTGATCTTCGCCTAAGAGCATCCGCGGCTTGGTTGGAGAGGCCCAGGATATGTTTCGGTGTGAAGTCGAACTGATTGATGAAGTACATCCATCGCGCAATCGTGCTGCTCACCGCGTCTTGTGTCTTGTAGTAGGTCAATGGGTTATTATCCGTCACCCAGGTTAACCTACAACGCCCGAGGAGGAAGTATCGCCAACGCTTGAGTACCGTGACGAACGCAAGCAACTCCTTCCGCGCATCATCAATCGTGTTGATGGGAGACACCTTTTGGTTGAAGTACTCAACTGAATGCTAGTCTACTCCGTCATGTTGTTCCAAAACTGCACTCATGCCGTAGCCGGAAGCGTCCGTAGTCACTCTCGTGGGCAAGGTGGGATCGTAGATACTCAAGACGAGAGCGAGGAGCAACGCCGTCTTCAATTTGTGGAACGAACTACGGACTTTGTCGGTGAACTGGAAGGGCACCTTTGGAGACTGCAATCTGGACAAAGGTGCGGCGATCCGTGTGTATCCTCCGATGAAGCGTTGGTAGTACCCGGCCAATCCCATAAAAGAGCGAACCTCCGTGGTGTTGGTCGGTTTCGACCAATCCTGAATGACCTTGATCTTGTCCGCAAGCGAACGGATGCCTTGCGGTGTCACAAAGTGACCTAAGTACTCGAGTTTTTGTTGTGCGAATTCGCACTTGGCTCGGTTGGGCTTGTACTTGGCCGTACGAAGCCTACATGCAGCAACTCCAGGACGCTGTGTGTCCTTCATCTCCTGGCTCTCATTCCGGGTCCCCCATCCTCGGACAGGGTGGCCACGGCGGAGCTTCCTCCTCCACTGCCCCCGACCCGGCCATCTTGGTGACTGTCCACGCCCCTAGCACGACGGCCGCCACGAGCCAGGCCCTCCCTCAGTCTACGGGCGCACCCACCCAGATTCCGGTCACTACGACCACGGGACCACAACCCGCTACCATGGTCTCAACTTTTTCGGGTGCCCCGCTTCTCCCTCCCCTTCGCACGACAGCAGCCCCCCCTGGCTCTCCCCCCTATGGGATGCCCCGCGCCGCTTGTGCGTCCACTTCCTCCACTCTTCCTCCTGCCACTCCTCGCTCGATCCACGTCCAACGTCTTGAGGACGAGCTTGCACAGATCCGGGTCGACCTCGCCCTCTTACGCCTTCAGCCACCCCCACCCTCACAGGTGGCCGCGCCTTCGGGCGCACCTCCTCCTTCCTCTACCCTTCCTCCCATGCAGGCTCGCTTTCCTCGCCCTGCACCGTATCCAACCCCATCCTACCTTCTTCATACTCCCGCAGTTGCTGCGACCTCTTCTACCGCAGCTCCCTCGCAGTCTGCCGCTGTCGCCCCCGCCGCTCCCCCATGCGCCCCGGGCGCACAGTCAGCTGCGCCCCTTTCTCCAGGACCTGCGCCGACTTACTCAGCCGTGGCACAGGCCTCCGCTCCTCGATCCCCTCGCCGCCAAAACGGTGGTGCACCACTCGTCCACTTGTCGGACATTGCCCTGTATGACGGTACAGGCATACGCGTGTCTCAGTGGCTGCAGTCTGCCACCCGCACGCTCCAGCTCATGGGCGCCACACCCGACACGTGGGTGGGTCACCTCTCCACGCGCCTGCGTGGCGGTCCTTTCGAGGCCTGGGAGGATTTCTACGCGCACTCCCTTCGTGCGGGTCGGACTCGGACCTTCATGAATTTTCAGGCGTTCCTCGAGGATCGCTTCGGAGCCCGACACGACGTGACTGACGACTTCGAGCGTGTCGTCACTACACGCTGATCCGGCTCTGGTGGCGCTGCCGGCCTGGATCGCCACATCCAGGTCTTTCAGGACGCCCGCCTCATTTGTGACGTGGCGTTCCTCCCCGAGGCTGCTCTTATCAATCGTTTCTTGGCCAGCCTTCCGCTCGAGTATTGCTCCGAGTTATGGCGGTACGATTTCACATCGGCCCCGTAGGCTTACGAGGCCGCCAGGGACCATCAGCGGATGTGGGCCCGTCTTCACCCCGCCTCCTCCTCCCAGCCTCAACGCACCGGCTACGGCTCCTCCTCCTCTCACGGCACTTCCCACCGTCATTCCCCTTTCCGCGGTCGCCCCTGCCGTTTCGCACAGCAGGGCCGCCACTTCTCGCGCCGCTTCAGCGCACTCGAGTATGGTGAGCAGGACGTTGTTGCCCCACTGTCGCCCAAGGGTGACCATAGCGACGACCTCGACCTCGACGAGGCCGTCCACCACCACCTGGAGGACTCTACTCTCCCTATGGCCAAGCGCCTCCAGCTCATCCTCTCCGCCCTCTTCCGGGCAGCCGCCCCGGTCACGCTGACCCGTCGCCCCCCGAGGTCCCTCAGCAGGACCTCCCTCAGGGCTTTGTCCCTCCTCGCGGTATCCTTTCCGCTGAGGAGCGCGCGACTATTTTGGGTCGGCGTGGGTGCCTACGCTACCGCCAGGACGGTCATACCTCCTCGCGGTGCCCTTATACCACCGCCCTCGACCACCACTACGCTGACCTTTCCCGCCAGCGTCGTGCTCAGTCCCCCCCCGACGCCTCGCATCCTCGCGGCGCCTCCTAGCCACAGTGCAGTGTACACTTGCGCCCTCCTCAGAAGCCGGCTTCCCAACATCCCCGTCGCGGTTTGCCCCTCTCGCTACTGGAGTTGAGGTCTCGCAGGACCCGACAGAGTGTACTCAGCCCTCTGTCGTAGTACCGTCTGCGCCTCCGCAGACCACCGTCTCCCCTCCTACCCCGCCGCGACTACCGACGCGTCGAGCCATTCGCTTAGCCCGTTGCAGCGTGCAGCTCGCTACTCGCGAGGACGTTCTGTCCTCTCTTCTAGACTTGAGCATGCTCCAGGGTCGTAAGGAGCGACCCACCCTCCCTGTCGCTGCACTGTGTCGCCTTCTCACCATCCTCTCCGACCCTGATCACACCCTCCTGATCATCCCAGTACGACTGGGGACCTCCACAAGGGTGTACTTAATGATGTGGGATTCCGGTTCTCAGGGCGACTTCATTCACCCACGTGTGGTGAAAGAAGCCCGCTTACCCACGACAGGGTCTCCGACTCCCATCTCTGTCACCCTAGGGGACGACAAGACCCAGCGCTTCTTCAATCAGACGGTCACCGACCTCCCCTTCTTCCTCACTCTCGAGCCGACTGATCGTTCCCCGGCGTCTCGTCGCCACCGCTCCTCTGCACATTTCGATGTGATGGAGACGGGGTACGACTTCACTCTCGGCAGTCCGTGGTCTCGTCGGTTCCGCAGCACTGAGGCCGATTGTGCGACCAACACTCTCGTTCTCAAAACTAAGTGTGGACAGACGTATCGCGTACCTTTCATAGGTACCACTGCGACACCAAGCCCCGATCCTCCTCCCCCGGAGCCTTCTGTGCCCACACCACCTCCTTCTATCACTGTCACCTCGCCTCGGCAGTTCGCTCACTTCATCCGACAGGACGACGTCACCTTCTTTATGGTGAACGTGACGGATCTCTTACACTATGATCCACCCTGTCCCGACGCTGAGATCATCCCTCTGGAGCCAGATCCTCCTTCTATCTCCATGGCTCCCATCTCTATTTCCCACCCTCCGCCGTCCGTCGAGTCCACCCCGCCGTCGCTCGCTGACGCTGACGCAGAGGAACTCGCACGATATACGGCTGACCTGGAGCCCGCAGTTCGTGACCTCATTCAAGAGTACCGCGACGTTTTTCCATCGTCGTTCTCATATGCCGGCATCCCATCGATGCGCGACGTCGAACATTCCATCCAGCTCGTGCCTGACTATCGTGTTCACCACCAGGCACCCTACAGACTCTCGATCCTCGAGGCCACCRAACTCAAGCGTCAGCTTGAGGAGCTCCTGAGACTGGGTTTCATTAAACCCAGCAACTCCCCGTGGGGTGCACCCGTCCTCTTTGCTCGCAAAGCGGATGGAACTCCCCGTCTCTTCATCGACTATCGAGGTCTCAATGGCTACATGGTCAAGAACAACTACCCCATGCCTCGTTCTGACGAGCTGTTCGACCGCCTAGCAGGCAACCGCTTCTTTACGAAGATTGATCTTCATAGCGGTTACCATCAGATCCGCGTCGCTGCAACCGACCAGCCGAAGACAGCGTTCCGATCGCGCTTCGGCCACCACGAGTTTACGGTGATGCCATTCAGCCTCACCAATGCACCCGCTACCTTCCAGAGGGCGATGAATGACATCTTCAGGGACACCCTGGAGCAGTACGTTCTCATCTACCTCGACGATATCCTGGTCTACAATCGTACCCTTGAGGAGCACCTCAGACACCTCCCCGACGTCGTTGACCGCTTGTGCAGACATGACTTTTACGCCAAGTTGAGCAAGTGCTGCTTTGCCCAGCACAAAGTGGATTTCTTAGGACACAATGTGTCTGACCAGGGTCTCCACATGGACGACGCGAAGATCACTGCTATTGCGGAGTGGCCCGTCCCCACATCCGCCAAGCAGCTTCGCAACTTCCTAGGCCTTACCAGCTCTTATAGTAGTAATTTCATCCAGGGATACGCTAGGTATTCCTACGTCCTTACCTCCACCCTCCTCTGGAAGAACCCACCCTGGGCTTGGACACCCCTCCACGAGGACGCCTTTCGCGCCCTCAAGAAGGCGGTGACATGTGCACCGGTTCCTCACCTACCCGATTTTGATCGCCCCTTTATCCTTACCACTGATGCGTCAGACTTTGCTGTAGGAGCAGTGTTTTCTTAAATTTTCCCCTCTTATCCTGATTCCTCTCATCCTCGTATCCCTCGCTTCCCATCCCCTACTTCTACACCTGCCTCCCGACTGACGCCTACTCGTCCAGCTACTGACGAGCCTTCTATTGACTATTCTCCTACCATCGCCGAGGACGGCACTGTCGAGTCTCGCTCAGGTGATTGTTCGATAGCCTTCTACTCGCGTCAGCTCCTGTCCGCCGAGATAAACTACACTGCTGATGAACGTGAGGTTCTCGCAGTAGTTTATGCCGCTCGGCACTGGTGTCACTACCTGCACGGGGCACCATTCACGGTGCGCACGGACAACTCCGTTGTCCAGGCTTTTCTGACAAAACCGAAGCTCACTCCTCGACAGGCTCGCTGGTGGCGCGACCTATCCGAGTTTAGTTTCACCACTGATCACATCAAGGGTGACGGGTCGCAGATGCCTTATCCCGGCGCCCTGACCACGACCAGGAGCAGATCCAGCTCTTTTCCATCTCGGTCACCACCATCCACCACTCGGTGATCGACGAGTGCCCCGACTATCGCGACATCTACGCGACCCTTCGAAATGGCAAGATTGTCCCAAACTACTCTTTCGGGGACAACGGTCTTGTATACTGGCACTGTTCACAGGGCACCAGAGAGCCCCGTATTTGCGTTCCCTCCACTGGACAGCTACGTGTCCGAGCAGTAGCAGAGTTCCATGACCAGGCAGTCGCCGGTCATATGGGCTTCCACAAGACGTTGGCTCGTGTGAGCCGCCTGTACGTCTGGCCGAAGCGCAAGGACTTTGAGAAGGACTACGTCGCAGAGTGTCCCACCTGTCACGAGGTGAACAGTGCGAACCACTTGCCTTATGGTTTGCTCCAGCCAGTTCCTTCCTTAGGGTCGTTGGCAGTCCATCTCGATGGACTTTATCGGTCCTTATCGTCCCCCGACCCCCCGCGGTCATGATGCTATCCTGGTGGTCGTCGACCACTTCACGAAGCGTGCACGCGTTGTTCCGTGCCGCTATGCCATCAGTGCACGTGAGGTCGCTGACATTGTGTTTGACCGAGTCGTGCGTGACCACGGCTTACCTCTGAGCATCATATCTGACCGTGACCCGCGCTTTACCAGCCGATTCCGGCGACGTCTCCACGAGGTGTACGGCACCCAGCTCCGCTTCTCCTCGTCTTACCATCCTCAGACTGATGGTCAGACCGAGATCACGAACATGACTCTTGGTGATATTCTCCGAAAGATTGTTCGTGACGACCAGCAGTGGGATCTTCATCTTGCCCACGCAGAGATAGCCTACAACCATGCCGTCTTGCCAACCACGGGGATGTCGCCCTACTATTGCGATCTCGACTATCACCCTCGTGTTCCCGCGGACTTCCTTCGACCGTCACAGATGCACCCCGACACGAGTTGTCCCGCGCTAGATGATTGGGTTGCACACATGACGTCGATCATGAAGACCGCACATGACACATAGCCGTCTCCCAGACTCGCATGGCAGCACTTGCGAACCGATCGAGAATGGGCCATTCATTCCAAGTTGGTGATGATGTGCTTATTGACACCCGCCACTTACAGCTCGAAGCGGACACGCTTCGCAAGTTTCGGCGTAGCTTCTTTGACCCATGCCGCATCCTCCAGGTCGTCGGTTCTAATACGACTTCTAGCCCGGTCAGCTTCCGTGTGAAGCTGCCCGACTACCTACGTCAGGCTCGTGTGCACGATGTCTACCACGTCTCGTTACTGAATCCTTACTGGCAGACCGTCTGAGCGTTTCACTGGACAACCATACGAGCGCCCCCCACCCATCATGGTGGACGGCCACGAGGAGTTCCTCGTTTCAGACATCATTGGTCGCCGAGTCATCGACGACAACCATCCCCACGTCGAGTACCTCGTACGTTGGAAGGGTTACCCTGATGAGGAGGCTACCTGGGAACCCCTCGAGCACTTGCAGCACGCTCGCATGTTGGTGCATACCTATGACCGTGCTAGTCGTGCTGGGTTCACTGCTCCTCCTCAGCCCACTGACCCTCCTCCTTCTCCCCCGACTGAGGAGACCGTTGAAGTCGAGCCTGGTCCATCTGAGGCAGATCTTCAGCAGCAGCCGGATGCTTCTGAGCGTCCACAGCGCATTCGTCGTCGTCCTGCTCGATACGACGATTGAATCTGACTTACCTTCCCACGTCCTTGACTTCTCAGTACTCCATCCACATCAGTTTTGCTACTTCAACTTGTCGACGTTGCGGCTCTTCCTCGACGGCATTCCGGACTTCTCATCGTGGACGTCATGGACAGCTTCATGGACTTCGTCACGATCAACTCTGCCTACTTCAGACGTCATCACTCTCTTACCACTTTACCCTATACAATACCCTGGTTGTGTCGCATGATGGTCTCCCTTTAGCTGGGTTCCTCTGATTTGGGCTCTCCCTTGGTATACGCATAGGCATCGGGACCATAGCGTTGCCCTGGCTTCCCAGCTTACGGATCTAGGTCCGACTTTCCTCACTTTAGGAGTCATTTGCATGATTCCCTTACCCATCACCTTTCTACCCTCTGCCGGTCTCCACGCCCTAGTTAGGCAGCCTCGCATGCTTCATCTAGGCGCGCCCAGTATACCAGGCTCCCTTGTTCCCTTGCATGGTCGACCCTCCATATCGGTCACCCCTTTAGTCGAGCATTACCCGCCCTGATGGCCTATCTGTTAGGGTCATTGGTTCTGTTCGCTCCTAGTTCCCTATCATCATTGAGCCTGATAACATGTGTTTCCCCTGTCATTATGTGTGGATGCCCTTAGGAGTTTTCGACCCCTAGGCTGTATTCGCCACCCTCAGAGACCATCCCAACCTTTGGTTTGCGACACATTTCTCATGTGACATATGACTGACTTGTTGTTGTTTGTTGCTCTCAGACTGAGGCTACTGCCTCCAACATTCTAGGATCTAGTTGTCATTACTTTCTGCTTTCCTATGACATGTATGTTAGTTAGTTGTTTCTGCTTTCCTAGGACATGTATGCTAGTTAGTTGCTTCTGCTTTCACTTAGGCTGTTAGCTGTGACATTGTTGTTTTGTGACATTTTCTATCCTAGGTTGCATCGCATGGACTCAGCATGGAGCTTGATCCACATCCTAGACTACTCAGATTTTCTTTTTCTTTGGTAGAGTTCCGCTTCTTGGCGGAAGCATGTTTGTATCTAGGCGATCCATCACAGGCCGAGGATCGTGTAGCAGACCTCTGGTTGGCGCGTGAGACCAGCCCCTTGGCCTGTTCTCACAGGCCTGTGTTCTATTTGGGGCAGTCCAATCCAGGCCGGTACCTCTGTCGGTACCGACTAGTCCAGTCCAGTCCCATCAGTCCGCAAAGGTATACCCCAGGCGTTGGCTGTTTTTGAGATCATTCTACACTTGCACGATTTTGGAGTATGTGCGTTGGAGTCTTGCGTGGGAGCTGCGCTGTGCCTGTCTCTTATACACATCTAGATGTGTATAAGAGACAGGTCCAATCCAGGCCGGTACCTCTGTCGGTACCGACTAGTCCAGTCCAGTCCCATCAGTCCGCAAAGGTATACCCCAGGCGTTGGCTGTTTTTGAGATCATTCTACACTTGCACGATTTTGGAGTATGTGCGTTGGAGTCTTGCGTGGGAGCTGCGCTGTGCCATCTCGCTCCTCCCTCATCCTCCATCTATATCTGCATCCCAGGCGGAGCACCTTCCTGGTGGGTCCGCTACAGACGCGAATCGCGGCGAGTTGCGTTCAAGTTATGTGCAACTTTTTGCACCACTTTAGAAAAACCCATACAACAAGCCTTTGCATCACCCACACCGGGACCGTTCGAGCATATGTACTTTCCATTATTTTCCATCATGCCCCTCCGGGGCCATAAATCTTCCTAACAGGCCCTTGTAGGTCCACGAAAGGTTAACAGGGACCCCCACTATTCAGCCCCAAGGTAACACCCCCAACCCTGAAAAGTGCATTGGAGATCATTTTTTCAGTTTTTTTTTTTTTTTTTTTTTTTTTCCCTAGGTCGCGGTTGCCGCGTAGCCCTACGGATGGGCACGACTCTCTCTCTCTCTCTCTCTCTCTCTGTGTGTGTGTGTGACTTGGGACCATATGTGCCTAGCCACGACTAAGGGGTGCTTTAGAGGAGTGTGTGTGTGACTTGGGACCATCTGTGCCCAGCCACCACTAAGGGGTGCTTTAGACGAGGGAGTAGATCGTAACCTACCGGTAGTTGCTGAGTGTACTCAAGCAAGGGAATCTCTTGACCACCTCTCCCTTCGGCTCTTCACTCCCACATTTTGAGATCCGACCTTTATGATGTTATAGGCCCCCCATCACCCAAAAATTCACACTGCCATTCCCCATTCACCTCCAACTTTTCTATCACCCTAACCTGTACCCGCTTCTCACGGACTGTGGGTTGGTTCTCTGCTTTGTTGATTATCATTCAGTTCCCAATGCGATGGTCCAGTTCCAGGTGGACCCAATATATCAGTAGACAGCAGAGGCCGTGGTCCCGTTCCCAATGCATTGGAACACCCGTTTACCATCTAAATATAGTCATCCGAGATTAGTTTCTGAATTCTCTCCGGATCAGGATGCAGGAGCCGTGCATGTACCATGTTCCAAGGGGACCCAATATAGCAGCGGACAGTAGAGGCCGTTCCGTATCTGTAGAATGGCCTGGACTAGCAAATATTGTCTTTACCCCAGGAACCAAATTGTCCCAACTGTGTAAGCAAAGTTTCACTACTCTTCCAGCCACCAATAGAACTGTCCCAGAAATGATCGATTCCGAGAACACCTCTCTCGCAATCGAGGAGCGTCAAAAGGTTGACAGGGTTGAATCGGCTCTGAACCAATCCCCGTTTGTTGTTCAAATTTTTGGATTCTCAAAGAGAGGTTGCGATACTACCTCTGCCCTGGTGGTGGGGTCTACCCAAACATCCAGTCTCAATTTCTTCCACGCACGGAGGATGACTCGCCAAAAGCTGTATTTCGCTTGTCTATTATGAAAAGAACAGTGTCAGATAGGTCTAGAAATTTAACGCTCTTAGTAACTTTCATTCCTCTGCCAATATCTGTTATGGAAGGTATACCCATTTCATAAGCAACACTACATTGTTGACAGCGTGGGCGCGGGCAACGCAGCCCTAAGGTAGCCAAAGCAATGGGACTAAGCCAAAAAAAATCACAACAAAATCTACAAGCGCTTCAATTTTCAGCATTTTTTCCCCAAAAAAAAATCAGCATTTTCCAAGCATTTTTCTGAGCGCAAAAAATCACTTTGAGTAATTTTTCCTTGGCCCACAAATGGCTGAGTGACAAAAATGGAACATGTGTCAAATCGGCATGGCGATTTGATTTTTTAATTTTTTTGCTAGGCTACCAGAGTGGCCCGGGGTCACTTGCTCGGTAGGTGATATCAATGTAGTGAATACTTAGACAACATGCGACAACACAGCTGTTGAGTAGGCACACAGAGAGACCGTTCAAAGTATGAACGCAAATGAAACCATATACCACCGTCATCAAGACTGACGAATTTGGGAAAGTCGACAAAGAAACACATGAAGAGTTTCGGCAATCCCAAAGGCGCGCGAGAGAAGCGCGGGTACGCCCAACACACGCCCATCACTTGCCCGGCCGGGCCAAAAAAATAAAAATAAAAAAAATATTTTTACATTTTATTTTTTATTTTAAATGTGGTGAAGAATTTTGATGTGACCCTGAGGCAAACGTTGTTCAATTTATTTTTCTGCATAACATAGTTTTTCTTTGGAGTTTTTTTTGTTTTTTTGTTTTTGCTGGGACCTTCCTTGGTCCTTGCACGGGCTGGCCACCCGGGCCCCGGTCGGCCCGGCTGGTAGCCCAGTTTATTTGTGGAAAAATCACAACCTAGTCTACAGAGTCTCAAGTTTTCAGATTTTTCTCTGAATTCTTATGAGCACAAAAAATCATCAAAGTTGCCTCTTGCAAATTGTGGGACTGGACCCGCCGGTACCCCTTTTGTGTAGGGGCCTAGTGGAAAGCAACGTTTCCGCACCAAACCCTGCCGCAACGTCTGGGCCTGAGGGCATTGGCAAACGAGTTTTTTCGTTAGCCCCCTTTCCAGTTCACATGCAAGGGAGGATTGGTCCTCCAACTTTGCTACTGCGCTGGTTCTATGCACGATAACTATAGGTAGCCCGCAAAAACACGGTGGACCGGTCCCCTAACAACTTTTAGCCCCTTAGAACCCACTCGAGCGTCGGTCCCCCGTTGTTGAAAATGTGCCACCTTGGCACGGACACCGAAGCCTGCTATAACGCAACCTTATTGTCTTAGTGGATCCTTTATCCCCAGGCCATCATCCTCTTGAGGCAAGTACAAGATCTTCAATGCCACTTCCAACAAAAGGTGTTGAGACTCCTCTGCGTAAGGATTTCATAAGAATTTGTTTGCATGGCGACTAATAATAAATGTTTCTCAAATAAGCGAACGGTGCCCACGAACCGCGC